CAATCAGAAAACATCTATAGTTATGTAAACCAGAGAATTAATAACAGTGATGATGACACTCAAAGAGTCAAGCCAGATACTCCATCTCAGGTGCCAGCTTCTCCAAAAGTTACAAATTTGTTAAAGTACGTTGACATGAGGGTAAATGAGAAAGATGCTACAATGACTCCTGGTGTTGCACATGTGGAAAAACAAGATGCAGACAGTTTCAAAACAGAGGAGCTGCTGTGCCCACTAGAGAAGAAACTACGTCGTCCAGTTAACAGTGTAAGTGTACTGTACGTACATGTTCTATTGACACAGAACATAGTGTGTGTACGTGTGCGTGTGGGTGTGTGGGTGTGTTCGCGCGCATGTAAATAAGTTACTCGTTTCGTGAACAGAACCGTGAAAGGTTGCTACCTTTGCTCTGAATAGTGAATTATTAAAAATGACAATACATTAGAGACAGATGGTGTATGTGTATAATATATATATCGAGACTGAAATCGCTTTCCTCCCCAGATAAAGCGGCCCATGAACAAGTACATGTTGTTCCAAAATAGTATGAGACCTAAGCTGACATTACTGTATCCTGGGGAATCTAGTCAAAACATCACGCAGCGTCTCGGGAAAATGTGGAAGGACCTTCCGGAAACTGAAGTAAGTTTACTTGGCATGGTAATGTATCTTTCTCTGTCTCTGTGTCTCTCTTTCTCTATGTCTGTCTCTTTGTCTTTCTTTCTCTCTGTCTGTCTCTCTCCTATCCTGTCCTATCCTATCCTACTTTCCACTCCTCTTCTCTCCTCTCCACTCTACTATACTATACAATACACTACTCCTCCCCCCTCTCCCCTCCCCTCCCCTCCCCTCCCTCTCCCCCTCTCCTCTCCCCGCCCCTCTCCCTTCCCCTCCCCTCCCCTCCTCTTCTCTCCTCTTCTCTCCTCTCCCTTCCTCTCCTCTCCTCTCCCCTCTCCCTCCCTCTCCTCTCCCCTCCCTCTCCTCTCCCCTCCCCTCCACTCCCCTCCCCTCCCCTCCCCTCCTCTCCTCTCTCTCTCCTCTCTCTCATCTCTCTCTCTCATCTCTCTCTCTCATCTCTCTCTCTCTCTCTCTCTCTCTCTCTTATCTCTCTCTCTCTCTTATCTCTCTCTCTCTCTTATCTCTCCCTCTCTCTTATCTCTCCCTCTCTCTCATCTCTCTCTCTCCCTCCCTCCCTCCCTCCCTCCCTCCCTCTCCTTCTCCCTCCCTCCCTCCCTCCCCCTCTCTCTCTCTCTCCCTCTCCCTCCCTCCCTCCCTCCCTCCTTCTCCTCCCTCCCTCTTCCCTCCCTCTCCCTCACCTCCCCCTCCCCCCCCCCTCCCCCCCCTCTCTCTCTCTCTCTCTCTCTCTCTCTCTCTCTCTCTCTCTCTCTCTCTCTCTCTCTCTCTCTCTCTCTCTCTCTCTCTCTCATCTCTCTCTCTCTCTCATCTCTCTCTCTCTCATCTCTCTCTCTCTCATCTCTCTCTCTCATCTCTCTCTCTCTCATCTCTCTCTCTCTCTCTCATCTCTCTCTCTCTCTCATCTCTCTCTCTCTCTCTCTCTGCTTCTCTCTCTCTCTCTGCTTCTCTCTCTCTCTATCTCTCTCTCCCTCCCTACCTCCCTCCCTCTCCCTCTCCCACTCTGCCTCTCTCACCCTCTCCCACTCTGCCTCTCTCACCCTCTCCCACTCTGCCTCTCTAACCCTCTCCCTCTCCCACTCTATCTCTCTCTCCCTCTGTGTGTGTATGTGTAAAGGGTGTTATTTTGACCTCTTATACATTGATAATAGGCTAGTAAAAGCTTGGGTGGCTTTACACTCTTTATTCTGTAAGAGTTAAGCACACGGAATATGTAGAACACAACGACAGTCTTGGGTAGCGCTCTGGGTCGCCTAAGGTCACGACGCGGCCCCCAGCCCCCAGCGGGCAGACTGGCCGCGAGGATCAGACGACCCGTCAGCGGCAGGGCACACTCTGACTGACAGGGGTCATCCTTGGAGTATAAGTACCGGGTGCCACCGGAAAGCAGGGGGGGGGACACCAGCTGGAACCGGGTCAGCAGCAGCTGTTTCCACCCGATATAGTGTGTGTGTGTGTGTGTGTGTATACAATATACTGTATGCGACCACGTGGATGCTTACACCACGCCAAGCCGCCCCACGAAGCATACCCACGCCGCTTGCTACCTAGCCTCGTTCCCACTCGTCTCCCGCCTCGGATACTTAAGCCCGCGTTTCGACCGGTCAAAGTAGAGTGTTCTGTGCCGAGGTGGGTCACGCCTGACCCCGCGGCCAGGTTGCCGTTTGGTAGGGCTTGCCGTCTGACCTAGGCGCCCTCGCCTTAACCCAAGCCTTGTCATCTTGTGTGTATTCTCTGTGTGCTAGCTCTATCAATAAAAGAGTTTTTAGCCACTAAGCTTTTACTACTTCCCTGTCATCAATGTTAAGAGGTGTTTATATAACCCTTACATTCTGGTGGCAGCGGTGGGATGTTGCGTGTCCGGCCGGCTATCCACCCCTTCCCACAGCCTTATATTCTGGTGACAGCGGTGGTTGTTGCGTGTCCGGCCGGCTATCCACCCCTTCCCACAGCCTTACGTTCTGGTGATAGCGGTGGTAGTTGTGCCAAACACAACCGAATCATTCTCCGAAGACAAACCGCTCGGCTTCGAAAAACGCAAGATGGCATCTTCAAAACCGTGAGTACACATTTATGGGCCCCTTCTCTTTTCATTTCTTTTCTATTTTTCCTAAATGTGTTAGGCCGTGTACAGCCAGCTCACGTTAGTTTTTGGGTTTAAAGTGCTAATTACAAGCAATGGCATACTCTCATTCTCATTTCTCATTTTCTTGACCTCACTTCTCATTACTGTCAATCGCGGTATGTAGTTAAGCAGTATGAAATCGTTAATTTATTAAGCGTCTATTTAATTTTTTTCATGATTAAAATATTTGTTCATTTGTATCGAATTTAGCGCGTTCGTGAATTATTCTATCACGAACATTCACTCATTAAATTCTTCTCTCTCCATTTCCTGTTTTGACCTAACCTCACAAGTCATTAAGTCAGCCTGCCTAAACAGCTGGTAGCTCTGACCTGACTTGACCTTGAGTGATTGTCACAGTGCTATGGCTGAGAAAAACAGCTTGTAATTCCCGTTTAATTGTTTGAATAGTTGTCACAATACAGGGTTAATGCATAGCAACCGTTACATGTTCATGGTGAACTGAATACTGAATACTTGGGGTTGCATTTTTTATGCGTAATGTACTCGGCGTTAGACGATGATAGTTCCGACAATGATAGTAAGTTAAAGTAACTGAAGTAAATCAAACGTTCGGCAAACTTTGAGCCAGGGTGACCGCAATTATGTCCATTAATTTAGGACTAGGATTTAAGTCTGATTTAGGATCCACTTAATTAATCACAAACCGCTCACACTTTTTTTGAGCCAGGGTGACCGCAATTATGTCCATTAATTTAGGACTAGGATTTAAGTCTGATTTAGGATCCACTTAATTAATCACAAACCGCTCACACTTTTATATGTCTCCGTCATGTTGGGTAAAATCCCATGGGTTCGTGATTCATGATAAATCCCTGCAGGGCATTTCATGAGCGCCCATCATAGATCCGCAGATAGAGTGGGTAATTTATAGATTTTCCCAGCTCGTTTAAGCTTCATAGAATACGGCAATTTTTGGGTCGCGTCCCCCCGTCAAATGAAGTCTGCATGACCGGTAAGACTCCTATTTCCTCGGGGAAATTCTCGAGAAGATTTGCTCGCGAAAAGGCTTGCGAATAATTTTCACGTCACCATTCATTAATGCGTCATTTTGTCGCATATCATTAAAGGTTAAATTCAATGCGATACTTGAAATAATTTTGAATTACGTCTATAAATAATTAGTCGCATTATTGTTAGAATGAACTTTATTCAGCGTGTTGGCAACTCTACTGCTATGAGGTCACTCTTACTTCCATTTAACACTCATCAATCACTGTCACTCAAACATGCACACATACTCACTCACTCACCGACGCAGACAAAAGACACTGAAACCTTCATTAATAGGATTTGCTGCAGTCTTAATTGCAGGCATACGTATTTGTTGCTGCAATATTGTTAGTCGTGATGTGTGACTTGTACATAATTTCGTATTGACATACTTTTACTTCTGTTTCGACATTGGTTCAAGTAATTCCTTGCGGAATGCCAATGGTCGTTTCCCTTACTTTATCATTTCACGAGATGATGGTAACTCAAGAGGATCCTTGCGGATCGTTACCAAAGTCTCCCTCTTCTATTTTCTTCTTTTAGCTTAACACAAAATGAAAAAAAAAGACGAAAATAGCGAAAATTCAACTTTAAAAAAACTGCAAATTATGAAACAAAAAATCGGCTTGTAGCTTTTAACACCTTCTCTTCTCTGTCGTTTTTCCTTCTCTCACTATCTGGCCCATTATGTGTTATTCTGGTTCCCGATATCTGAAACGGCACCGAAGGAGGCCCTGCTGCAGAAACGGTCACCTTCGGAAGCCATTGGAAAACGTCATCGGAGGATCGCCGCCGCCAGGACGCCCCGAGATCCAGCGACGACAGGGCTCGCCAGTAGAGGTTCGCCGTCCCATGATGCTGTGGACAGGCCTGCCTGGACGCCGCAGACCCATTCAAACTCCAGGAGCTCATTAGTGCAGGTATCAGCCGCCCTACGATGTTGAAGAGGACGCTCCCTGCCGGACGCCCGTAGATACTGATTACGAGGACGTCTGTACGAGCGCGCAGCCGAGAAGGACCTGGACAGAGATCTGCGAGACGTGCATTGGGCGAATAAGCCGCCGAGTTGGACCTGTGCGCGGAAGACGAGGATGTCTGGACGAGGACCGTGCGAGACCAATCGAGGACGTGAGGATGTCGAGGACGAACGGATTCCCAGGGACCAGAGCGAGGATGACGACACAGAACGAGCAGCCACGGAGATACACCAAGGATACCGCACCTGAGATCGAGGACGAGCAAGTTGGAACCAGCCAGGTTGGGTCACCCTTGAGGGAAGTCTAGATCGCCTCGAGGACGAGCCGTGAGTAGGTGGCCGAGCAATATACAATATACTGTATGCGACGACGTGGATGCTTACACCACGCCAAGCCGCCCCACGAAGCATACCCACGCCGCTTGCAGCGGGGCGTACCCACGCCGCTTGCTACCTAGCCTCGTTCCCACTCGTCTCCCGCCTTGGATACTTAAGCCCGCGTTTCGACCGGTCAAAGTAGAGTGTTCTGTGCCGAGGTGGGTCACGCCTGACCCCGCGGCCAGGTTGCCGTTTGGTAGGGCTTGGCGTCTGACCTAGGCGCCCTCGCCTTAACCCAAGCCTTGTCATCTTGTGTGTATTCTCTGTGTGCTAGCTCTATCAATAAAAGAGTTTTTAGCCACTAAGCTTTTACTACTTCCCTGTCATCAATGTTAAGAGGTGTTTATATAACCCTTACAGTGTGTGTGTGTGTGTGTGTATGAGAGAGAGAGTAAAAGAGGAGAGAGAGTGCTCGTGTACGTGCGTAATATTTTTGTGGAATGTTTGGTTATCTCATTTTCTTTTTTCCCTTTCAGAAAGCCGAGTGGAAAGGTAAAGCTGAGAGCCTTAAAGAAGAACACAAGCGGTTGCATCCCGATTACAGCTACAACCCCAAGATGGCAGCACAGCTCAAGAGAGAATACTCCAGGGCTCGCATGGAGCGTCGCAATCTATATCGAATCCACACATATCCAGACACTGACGATAATAGTTAAACTTTACCATCATTAGCTAAGAAATTGAGCATAATAAGCTTTGCATTATATTCTTTACACGGTATTTTGATACATTTCCTTGAATTAAGCAAATGGTTGTTTGTCACAATAGGCTGTCGTAGCATAAGGCTGATATCTCTTTGTGTATAATCTGAGGCGTTTGTCAAATATAAATAGGTTTCGCGTCTGTGAATTTTCAAAGCATCACTAAATATAAAACAGAATTACAGACACATTTCTCTTTGGACTATAATCGGCTCGTAAAAAAAAAAGAAAAAAAAAAAAAAAAAACAGTATAATAATGGAAAGCATTGACAACTCTTACATAATGCCGAGACTGAAATTAGCACATTATCAAACAAATGCTCAATACAAAAGATGGAAATACAATGTGGAAAAAATGTAACCCCGCAGATGATAATGTTGCTGTTCCTGATGACCTCATGGCATACTCGTCTACCGCCCGATACTTCTTGTGCCTGTGCCTCATCTATGAAATTGTTAGTAATAAATTAGTATGACTTCTCTTTAGTTTTTACATCAGTCACCTTTGGCCCACGTCTTCAGGTAAACACGCAAAAATGGTATATTGTCAATGAATGTTGTTTTCATTTCTTCTGATAGATCCCCAGGTCGCTGCTGCTAAATACCGAAGATCTGGAGCTCTGTCAACTGGAATTTTGCCGTATCTGACTCAAGGTCACCGTGCGTGTGTGTGTATTTGGGTGTGTGTGTGTGTTTAAGGGGGGGGGTGAGTGAGTGTGTTTGTGTGTCTGAGAGAGAGAATGTGGCAGGCGGTGGCCGTTGCCACCACCGAACAAGTCTCCGAAACAAAACCACTAGCCTTTCAAACAAACGCAAGATGACATTTCTTCAAGAAATGTCATTTTTGGGTTAAAGTGCTAATTACAGCAATGGCTGGCTCTCATTCTCATCTCATTTTCTTGACCTCACACCTCATTACTGTGTGCTATAGTATGAAGCTAAACATTATGAAATCGTTCATTTATTAAGTGTCTATTTAATTTTTTTTGTGATTAAATTATATTGTTTCAATTGTATTGAATTTAGCGCGTTCGTGAATTTATTCTTTCACGAATATTCACTCATTAAATTCTTCTTTCTTCATTTTCTGTCTTGACCTGACCTCAGCTGAAAGTCATTAATCAGAGCCCACTCAAGGACAGCTGTCGTTACCTGATCTGACTTTCACTAGGAGTGGTTATCACAGTAAATGGTGGAGAAAAACAGCTTGCCAATTCCCTTTTAATTGTTTGAACTCCTCGTCACAATATAGGGTTAATGCATAGCAACCGTTATATGTTCATTGGTGACACGTTCTATCGGCGCTAGAACAAAACTTGTAACGTGACTCGTATTATTAAATATAACGCCAAGAGGTATTCTCATTGTAAGGTTGCAATTATGCGTAATGACTCACGTATGAGAGTAGGTTAAGGTAACTGAAGTAAATCATACGTTCGGCAAACTTTGAGCCAGGGTGACCGCAATTATGTCCATCAATTTAGGACTAAGATTTGTCTGATTTAGGATCCACTTAATTAATCACAACCCGCTCACACTTTTACATGTCTCCGTCAAGTTGGGTAAATCCCATCGGTTTGTGATTCATGATAAATCTCCATAGGGCATTTCATGAGCGCCCATCATAGATCCACAGATAGAGTGGGTAATTTATAGATTTTCCCAGCTCGTATAAGTTTCATAAAATATGGCAATTTTTGGGGACGTCCCCCCCTGTCTGTATGACCGGTAAGACATACCTACTTCCTCAGATATCTCCAAGATGATTTGCTCGCGAAGAGGCTTGCGAATAATTTTCACGTCACCATTCATTAATGTGCCATTTTGTCGCATATCATTAAATGTTAAATTCAATGTGGTACTTGAAATAATTTTGAGTTACGTCTATAAATAAGTAGTTGCATTATTGTTAAAAGGAACTTTATTTAGCGTGTTGGCAACACTACTGCTATAGGAGGTCACTCTTACTTTCATTGACACCTGTCAATCACTATACTTTTCTTTCGGGTTCGACAAATGTTTCAAGTAATTCCTTGCGGAATGCCAATTGTCGTTTCCTTACTTTTTCACGAGACAATGGTAGCTCAAGAGGATCCTTGTGGATCGTTATCACCGTCTCCCTCTCCTATTTTCTTCTTTTAACTTACATTAACTTTGTGAACATAAAACACAAATTAAAAAAAAACGAAAATACCGAAAATTCAACTTCAAAAACTGCAAATTATGAAACAATAAATCGGCTTGTAGCATTTAACACCTCTTCTCTGTCGTTTTTCTTCCTCTCACTATCTGGCCCATTATGTGTTATTCTGGTTCCCGATATCTGAAACGGCACCGAAGGAGGCCCTGCTGCAGAAACAGTCACCTTCGGAAGCCATTAGAAAACGTCATCGGAGATCGCCGCTCGCCAGGACACCCGAGATCCGGCGAAAACAGGAGCTCGCCAGTAGGGGTTCGCCGTCCTATGATGCTGTGGACGGGCCTGCCTGGATGCCGCAGACCCAATCAAACTCCAGGAGCTCATTAGTGCAGGTATCAGCCGCCCTACGATGTTGAAGAGGACGCTTCCTACCGGACGCCCGTAGATCCTGACGAAGATTACGAGGACGTCTGTACGAGCGCGCAGCCGAGAAGGACCTGGACGGAGATCTGCGAGATGTGCATTGGGCGAATAAGCCGCCGAGTTTGACCTGTACGCGGACTACGAGGATGTCGAGGACGAAGGGATTACCAGCGACCAGAGCGAGGATAACGACACAGAACGAGCAGCCACATAGATGCACCAGGGATACCGCACCCGAGATCGAGGACGAACAAGTTGGAACCAGCCAGGTTGGGTCACCCTTGAGGAAAGTCTAGATCGCCTCGAGGACGAGCCGTGAGTAGGTGGCGATGCGTTTTCATGTTTCAAAAAATATGCAGCTGTAATTGAAAATGATTGTGTTGAAAGAAGGGGAACGTACTGCCATACCACCATAGATGTTGCCATTTCGATAAATAAACAATTCCAGGAAATCGCATTTTATAAATATCCCACAACAAAGTCAATGATAACTAATACTACATATTTTGTTATCACCTGTTTGAAGAAAACGAAATATAAAATGGTTTACGTAGTTTCCAAAAATAGATGCTAATACACTTATTGGTCTTTTATATTCCACTAATCACACTCTTTATTACAAACAGCCAAGGGTTTTTGCCTCATTCATAAAAATACTATTTACTCTATGTTTACATCGATGTCGTTGCCAGATGTATAAATATATAAACATCTATATCTATCTATCTATCTCTATCTCTCTCTCTTTCTCTCCATATATATATCTATATATGTATATATCTATATATCTGTATATATATATATATATATATATATATATATATATATATATATATATATATATATATATATAAACTACATATGTACATATATATGTATATGCATATACATATACATATATATATATATATATATATATATATATATATATATATATATATATATATATATATATATATATATACACACACACACACACAGGGGTGTCATTTCAGCCTTTGCTTGTGGGTGGGTAGGCAAGGGGAATTAAATTTAAATTTAGTTTGATTCCATTTGTTACAATGGATATTCTTGGTGTGACATACTGTCTGTTTTATTTTGCTTCTAAATTATCCTCTGTGTGCAAGGAATAGCCGGGGTAACCATCCACTGGTGGCGAGGGATTCGAACGCAGGTCAGCAAGATTGCAAGACGAGATCGCTACCGCTGCACCACACAGGACAGCACAGGAAGGGGGATCGGTGAGAGAAGTAAAGACAATTAGATAGGGATTTTTTTTCTGGGGGGGGGGGTTAATAACACTCAATAAACTATAAACAAAATCCTATTGGATTAATGATAAATCTATATTAACTAAATGTTATGGTATATTTTGAATTTCTATATATATATATTATTATTATTTTTTTTTTTTTTTTTGTATTCACGGATAATATATTTAAAGTTATTCATTTGTTGCTGTTGTAGTTCAAGTACCACTAGTTGCAGTACATATTTATGGAAAAAAGGAGTACCGTGGTATTGATGTGATTACAATGTGTAGTACCAAGCAACGGCTCTTGAACCTTTTAGTTGCTGTACCAGTCTATTCTACTTTGTATGTTCCTGTAATCAAATTAAATCAGCTCTAAAAGTTGTTGGGGTGTAGCCCGGGGGGGGGGGGGGGGATAGAACTTGAGGGGAGGGACAGAATCTTGAGGAGACAACTGCACCCCAATAGAAACTTTCTCTTTGACAGCGGTGCTCCCCATCTCTCTCTAAGACATTTGATGACGGCGATGTTCAAGAACTTCACGACACCAACACTGATTGCCTACTACCCTGCGATTCCACGCTCCTCGCCGATGCCTGGTGCCGACCCACGCTATCTGCCAACAAGGCACAAGGTAGACCATCGATTGGCATTAACACTTCGATATCTAACAAAAGGTTATTGTTAAATAATATATTTGTCTTTTGTGCATGATTTCGCTGGTGTCCTTTTGTTGTTTATGTGATGTCTAAATATTTGCAAATAAAACCAGATAAATATTTAGTTATCTGCACAACTCAAGAATATTGATATTCCTTTGAGATAATAATCATACTTGTAAGTACACTCAACAGCAACTAAAACAATGTGCAGTGAAACAAGTTTCAGAAATGCTGAATTTGCTTGTTCTCGTGATTATAATTAGTCCCCTCTTTACAGTAAAAATTTCTTAACTGACTATTTTCTTGTTTGTAAAAGCTATTTTTTGTTCCAGATACTGCGTCAGGAGAAAAGCTCTGGCTCAAAAAAAAATGTAGGCAGAAGGCTACATTGATTTTTTTTGTTGTTGTTATTGTTGTAGTTAGATTATTGAAATTTTGTAATTTTTGTTCATTGGTATTATAAAATTATTGCTGAATTTATAATTTACTGTTTATTTTCGTTGTAGTGTATTATTTATTGTCAAGTTTCTAATATTCATTTTATTATAGTTATAATTTCTTAAATATTGTAGTTCGTATTTTTAGTTATTGGTAGTAATAGATTTTTTCCTCTCAAATTCACACATTTTTTTGTTACAGTTGTAAGTTTGATCATCAATAAATAAAACAAGAAGAAAATAGTTTTCTTGAAGTACATACTCCTTTAACATGCACTAACTTAAATGAAAAAAATACGTGCAAATGTTTGTTACCCAATTATATACTCATATATATATATATATATATATATATATATATATATATATATTATGAAGAGGTAGACTAAGACAGTGGTGAAGAACTTCATATTTATTAGACGTTTCGGAGGTGAACATTAGGCCTCCATCATCAGTAAAAAACTGTCAAAAAGAACCAATGAAAAAGTCAGTTTGACAATTAAGAATATGGATATATATAAGTTCTGAACAAAAGCGTAAGAATAGCAAAGAAACAAATACATACAA